GTCTTGATGTTAGATCGGATAAGCCATTCTATCTGAGCTCCTTGAAGTTGCTGGAGGACCTGACCCTTCCCGAACTTCAGTTCGACTATTTATGTTCTTTTTATGGACAATTGATTTTGTAGAGTTATTATTTATTGGCTTTGGTTTTTTTCCCCGTTTGTTTTAAGGGTTATTTGATTTGATTGTTTTCCTTTCTAGCAAAAACAATAATGTTGCTCTATAATTATTTATGCTCATTATAATCTGTCTTTGGGTTTTAGATGTTCTTTTTAACGTTGTTTGATTCACACTTATCACCGGAACATAACACTTCTCTACGTGAATTCACAGCTACTAAGCCTTACAAGAAAAATTGCGGTGGCTATGGCTTTGTTGTATGAATACTACAAATCTTATGTCGATCGAACTCCCTGCACTACATCAACTGATATGGTGATAAATGGTTTGGTGAGCTACTACAAGGATAATTCAGTAACATGTTCTGCATGAAAAAACCCATATTTTTGATCTGCTCGATGAACTACATAGCCATCATGGACTGTACAACTCCTCAAGAATAACAATGCCACTCCACATTTTATCACAAAATGAGAATGAAAGGAGCGATGGAGCGATTCCAACATTCAACAGAGATAATTAACAAGTATTTCTCGGTGGGATTGAAAGCTCTTGTCAGTTTGTCGACAAAAAATAATTAAGCTAGAGGATCCAACATTCAAGACCACTCCAAAATATATTGTAAATGATCCGCGGTATATGTCATTCATTAATGTATTTCTTTTTAACACATTACATTTAGATGTCAAAATGAGTTGCATGGAAATCACACCTTTTAACTAATCTGACAGAACTGTGTTGGAGTGATTGACGAAACCCATGTGGATGCACGAGTATCTAACACTAAGAATGTCGCATACATTGGATGGTGTGGATCACCCACACAACTTGTGATGGTTGTATGTGATTTTAACATGTGCTTTTCTTTTGTGATGGCTGGTTGGGAAGACAGTGCACATGAAAGTCATATTTTTGCTTTTGTGATAATAAACTGTTGTGGATCACCCACACATGTGATGGTTGTATGTGATTTTAACATGTGCTTTTCTTTTGTGATGGCTGGTTGGGAAGACAGTGCACATGAAAGTCATATTTTTGCTTTTGTGATAATAAACTGTAGACACGACTTCCCGAACCCACCTACAAGTTCGTAAATATATCAACCACATTCTTTTTTATTTAGTTTATTACTAATTATGGTACTTGGGGCAGGTAAATATTTTTTGGTCGATGTTGGACATTCTTTTACTGAGGAGCTATCAGAAGCCATTTCCAGTATAAAGTATCACATTCCTTATTTCAAAAGATTCAGTGATGTTGCTCGTGACAGGAAGGAAATGTTTAACAAAATGGGTCATACTACATGATATGTCGATGCATCCATTTCCAAAATAGGCGCAGATTGTAGTGGTCACAATGACGCTCCACAACTACATTCGACGACATCATTCTTGAGTTGATGTAGACTTCAGCTTGGCTGATGATGACCACTTACAGGTCCTGCCAGAAGCATTTGAATATCACGTTGGACAATCTATACCACAACCAAAAGTGGAATGACAGGAAGGTTACACCCAGGATGTGGAAGGTGCCGCATAAATGACTGATTTGAGAGAGAAGATTACAGACTCTATTGTTGGATGTTGATTGGATGACTCTTGTTTATTTTATGAAGTCTATGTTTATTCAAGCTTGTGGGTTCTTTTGGATGGTATATTAGTCACTATTGGTTTGTGTTACTTGTGAAATCCTAATAAAGGCAACCAAGTTTCTCTTTTTTTTCGATACTGGTTTTTTGAGCTACTTATGGATGACATGTTTTGTCGTTGTTGGTTGGTGTCACATGTGAAATCCTGATAAATGCAACCAATTTACTATATTATTTTCGATGCTTGGGTTTTTGAGGTACTTATGGATGGTTTTTTTTTGTTGATATGCATATGTGACACACATGACTTGGGTATTAAGTAAGCTAAAGGCAACAAAGAACCCCTATTTTATAAGGTCTAATGTCATCTTGTTATGACATGTTTGGTGGGGATGTTTTACTTAGTTTTCAGAGAGCTCACACTCGCACAAAATCGTAATTGATGATTTTTTTTTATCAATTTATAAAGTGTATGTTTCTTTTATGCTCCATGGATTATTAATATTTTATATATTGTAAAGTTTATGCTACTTCTAAATGTTTTTTTCTCCTTTTTTGATTCCTTTTTATTTTTTTTGGGTTTGAGAGGTCCATGATGAGACGTTCGACCTTGTGGGTTCTCCTATATGGCATGTTAGTCCTTGTTGGTTGGTATCACATGTGAAATCCTGATAAAGTCAACCAAGTTCCTCCTTTTTGATGATATGGTTTTTTAGGTACTTCTAGATGTTTTTTTTTTGTGACACACATATGTGACACACGAGCTGATATTAAGTGAGTTAAAGGTAACCAAAAATCCTTTTTTACAATGTTTGTTGTCTCTTGTAGTGACATTCGTTCATTGGTATATTGACTTCCATGAGACCTCATGCATGCAAAAAAAACTGTAATTAATTACTTATGTTAACAATTTCAACTTTTGTTATGACTAATGAATTGTCTTTTGAATTATTCAAGAAAGATGAGTTCTAGGATTACAAGGACCTCTCGATGAGTGTTTTGCCATTGCGAACTACAGACTTCCCTACTGACTTCACGACATACATATAACTTCAGGAGACAGTTCTACAAGTGTCTGCGAGGCATCACAGAGAAGTGTGACTTCTTCTGGTGGGCAGACAGTTTGACAGATTCTACTGCCGATAGTGATCGGGGTTGGATGATATCCCTAGATGACGATGTACCTCGTGACATACGTTCTCTCTGTATTTTAAAATTAATATTATCATTATTTTAATAGTAATTTTAATAAATTTTTTCTTTTTTTTGGCAAACTTGATACTCACTGTTAAATGAGGTATGTATCTTAATTTTTGTACTGTTCTGAAGCGGTTTTTCGCTTCTTACATATCAAATATATTGTTATGACAGTTATGTTGTAAACAACATTACTGCACAGGGGCAAAATGATCATTTATCTAGAAAATTGCAAGACAACAATTTTCCAACAACACCAACCAAACAGTCAACTAGCTTATCTGGATCAACTACTGATTAACAATTTATTAATAAGATGCAGCTGCCCCATAGAAACCCTTTATCTCTCGCAAGTCTTCTCTCTGCTTTTGATTATAATTTGATTCGAATAAGATGACTTAAATCGACCCCTTTAAAACGAAATAGTGAGACTGTTATTTCAAACCTTTGTCGTCGTTTCCAATATTATTTATTAGTATTTACCTTTTTTTTAGAGTTATTGCATGATTCTTTTTGAGGTTCATAAATCACTCGAGCTCATGCTTGCTATCGACCTATCAGAAAGATGAAAAAAACAAGAACTAAGTGATCATTGTCATGCATATGTAAGATATATATATATAAAGATGTAAAAAGTTAAAGTTCAAATATTACATATGCAAGTCCAAAATCATTTGTGGTTATTCCACCCAAGCTTATATTCTGGATAAATGATAAAGTAGGTATGTCAACAAGACAACAAAGGGATTGCTTGTAACCAACACCAATACTAGAAATTCTTAGCTTGGACTATAAGTGGAATTGCTGCTATATATTCAATAGCCCATCAGAAGAACGAAAACTATGATTCAATTAATAATAGTGAGGCATATCATGAAGATCAATATAACAACAAGAATAACGCCCACTTTTTAAATAAATTTATATAGAAATGAAATTCTATTTCCCATTACTCATGAATTATGTGACCAAACAGAAATTATAACTTTAATTTTCACATCAGCTTTGGATATCAAAATTTATGTATACAAATCATAATTATTTTCTTTTTCGAATTTTTATTCACATTGAAAAGGAAGATGCACAACAACGTTCTCCAACCCTACCACATTTGCAAAACATCAAAAACCAAATCTTAGAAACAAACAATGCCCACAAAAATTCAGCTAAATGAAAACAAATGATGCACAAAATCATTCTCCAGCCCCACTACATTTGTAAATCATTCAAACCCAAAATTCAGCTACATTTGTAAGCGCACCAAAAATAATCAACAAAATGGAAACAAAAGATGCAAAAAAATGATTGTCCAGCCCTACCATATATTATTACAAGTCATCCAAACCCAAATCTTTAAAAAAAAATATCCACCAAAAGAATGAGTTAAATGAAAGTAAAGGATGCACAAAAATGTTATCCAGCTTTGACGATTTTTCGAAGCATCCAAACTCAAATCTTAAAAACAAAAGAAGCACACAAGAAATCAACTCTAACTAGACTAGTCCATCAAAACAGGGAAGGAGAGGAAAGAAGAACAAAGCCTTAATCCCACCAAGTGTAAGAACAAAAATAAAAAAAAAAAGATGTGTCAACCTGACTTTGTTTCCCGGCTTTAACACAGTGCTCTTTTCGAGCGAAGAGAAAGTTGGGGCAGACAGGTAAAAGAAATTTTGGCCTGCTAAATATCTAAATATTAATGTTTCATGTGCCATGAAAGTAATTCTCCTTAAATTTTTTATATATTTAACTTAATTCAAATTGTTTGAAGATAAATTTTTTGAAATTTCAATCAAGAGTTGCATCAGGGCATCACAAGTTTGAAAAACATAAGGGTTGGCTTTAAGGCTGCAAGAAAAATTCCATAAGAAATTTATTCGTAAGATGATGAGAAAACTTTGGTAATCTTGTGAATTTAGTTTATACTGCACAATTTATCCATATATTAGATCATACCATTACAATATTTGCAGTGAGCAAATACATATACCAAATATCCAATTTTGTGTACAGATTTAAGTTCAATGATATCACTTATGAGCTCAAAATGCGAGCTACAAGTACTCAAATTAAGGGAAAACATCAACTAATATGATTACACCATTAAAAGCATTGAGTGTTCTACCTGTAGAAAACTGAAAAGATCCAACTTAGCACATGAATTCCAGAAAGGGGGGATTGTTACAGCTACATGGAGTCAACATTTTCAGAAACAACCTTTAAATATGCTGGATTTGCATGTTCTGCATATTTTCATATATTAAGATTTGGATCCTCAGAATAACAATATTTATGTACACTGCCCTGAATTTGATCCCTTCTACAGATTAAACTAAACAGCACATCTCACACTCTTCCCTATATCAACTCAGTCTTTCCTTTCTAAGCTTCTCCAAGTCCTTCATCTTTCTCCACTGCTCCAAAGAGAGGCTTGTTTCGCCTAAGCTTCCCGACAGTAACTGGGCCATAGTGAGCAATCTATAGAGAAAATTGTGAGTATTCAAATTATATGAGGGGAATGCAAAATGGAATTTAGGAAGAAATCCAACAAAACCTGTTGAGGTCATTGTAACCCAAGCTTCGATCTTCTCGCATGGCTGAAACAATTTCATCCTGGAGCATCTGAAAGAAAGCAAATGTGATTTTGATTTCTGAAGGGTCATAGTAAGTGCTATTTGCCTAAATATGTGTGTGTGTGTACCACACAATTTTTATGCATTCATATATAACACCTTAAATTTAATATATAGATCTTATCACTCAAATAGGACACAATGAAGTGAAAGGATTCATGTAGACAATCCCACTGACTGGGATGAAGGCTTGTTGTTGTTTGTATCACACAAATCTTTAGCATCATATCTAAAAATGCCACAAAGACTAACTTTTTAAGAAATTTTGCTGTCATTATGACAATGCTATATAAATATTAAATACATGGGGATTGTGTGGTATCAATGTATTTAAATAGAGTATTCAAACTTAGTATTACTATCAAAATTTAACACTTGATTTCATCATTAAAAACAAAGCATTCATATTTCAAAATTCATTAAAAATTCTGATCTAATAATAAGATTGCATAACCTCTAATTAAAACACATGACTTTCAAATGAATCAGTTACAACAAACAACAAAATTAATTATCTTCAATTACAAAGCAGGATAAAAGAATTATGCTCAAGAATATTATCCTTCCAAAAAAAAAAAAAACTACACAAAATTTCATAGAAATAACACTCATAAGAAACTTTGCTATATGGTTAAAAGATAAATGCGAGCTACATTAGTACCTGTTGCACTTGAGATTCATTAGAGTAGGGAAGAGACCTTACGGTGGCAAGATACCACCTCCAAGCATGCAATTCCTCAGTGCTTGCCTGCTTTACAGAAACAAATGAGGTAGGACGAAAAGGTAAAACTATATCGGCTGGTAATATATTGGATTTGCCCTCAGAGAAAATCAGCATCTGGATGTCGGCAGCCATTTCTATCTTATAATATTCAAAGTCATATTCTACCTGCAATGTGAGTATATATCAATATAAAAACTAAGATAGTATCCTGGTTGCACAAAGATGGGAAAGAAACTCGTTTGAGAAGCAAGTTAAGAATTTGGCATCTAAAGATAGAACTTAATCTAAAGATAGAACTTAAAGATTGTTTTGAAAGGTTACACAATTCGTTGGCACCAATTTTTCAGTAGTTAGACCGTTTACACTTAAAGATTGTTTTGAGGCAACTCTTCGCTATTTCACCTTTCAGATCATTTTCACATCAACTTGGTTACCATTCACTTGATAAATTACACTTGAGAATCAAATCTATATTATTGTTGAAGCTATAGGAAAATCGTTGACCGAATTTTAGAAAACAAAAAGTATTTATAATACTAAACCCACAATAAATTAAAAAATATATATTTTTTCTCGCAATAGGTTCACAATCTCATTTAAAGAAAACTATAGCAGTGCCAAATGAACTCTTTTATCAGCCAACCTTCTTTTTTCCATAGATGCTAACCGGATTTAAATGAGTAATATGTTTAATTAACTCAAATTTACACACGAAATCAACATACAGACAGCAGTAAAATGGTACATTCCAAAACACTATTTGTGTCATCCTTGCTAAAAATTTTGGTGAGGAAGCATTACTCAAGCAAACATGCTTGGAAGAATGCTCAAGGCAGACAAACTATTAAATTTGTATCAACTAATTTTTTCTCTAATTAGGGCAAAAAACAAATATTTATAATTACTCAACTCAATAAATTTTAAGAAATTTGATTTTCTCGCAATAGCTTTAGATTCACTTTTAAAGAAAAATATAGCAGTGCCAAATGAACTCTTAAATTAGCCAACCTTCTTTTTTGCATAGATGCTAACCACATTGAAATGAGTAATATGTTTAATTACCTCAAATTTACACATGAAATCAATATACAAGCAACATGAAAATGGGGACTTTCCAAAAAACTATTGCCATCCTTGCAAAAAATTTGGGCGAGGAAGCATTACTCAAGCGAATAATCCTGGAAGAATACTTGAGCCAGACAAACTATTAAATTTGTATCAACTAATGTTTTTTCTCTAAGTAGGGCCATTTTATTTCTCAAGCCAAAAATTTGAAAGACAGAATTTGCTAGATCACCCCGTGGTTGGAAGTAATTAGAAATAAATACTAATTTCAGACTATAAATTTACGTAAAAGCATTTGAATGTGATGAATAATAAATGAACCTATAGTGGGAAGGGTGTGGTAAGGTTATAGAAGCATTGGCTTTTAAAAGGAAGACAAAACTGTACAAGCAGACAGAATCTCCGTAAGGCAGGATTTAGAATCAAGCAGACAGAATCTCCGTAAGGCAGGATTTAGAATCCTTTTTATGAAAATGCAACATAACTACCATTAAGCCAGATGTCCTACAGCGCCGCTATTTGAAGATAGAAAAAAAGATAATATAAAGTTTATACCGTTTGCCACTCCATCAAATGCTTTAATAAACGAGCATTCTCAAAACCAAGAGAATTGAGAGGCCCAGCTTGCAGATGAGTCTCATCAACAGTCAAGTGTGTACCTTGTGCAAGCTGTAGCACTCCAGTCACCAACCTGATAAAAAAGTTTCAATGAATAGCAGATTAGTAATAATTAAGATTCAAAGCCCGAGCATATCAGCAACAGTGATGGACAAGCACCTTCCCGATTGGTTATCTTTCTTCGGCTGAAGCATGGTTTTGTTGAGATACTCCACAGAGAGGGGAATTACTTTGGAGAAAGGAGAGAGTTTAATAATTGTATTATTAAGTTGATTTCCGAAAACAGATGCACTTTCTCTAGTGAAGCCGGTCAGGTTAAGTGACAGTTTCCCTAGCGCAACCACATCCACTTTATGACGCACCTACTCGAAAAGATGAAATAATAGATCAAAACAGGAGTTATGAAGATGATTCAAGAAAAATGTAGTGAAAGTGCGAAACTTAACGTCGACGATTTCAGAGAAAGCGAATAAACAAAAAAACCAAACAATTTTCAGTTGTTATGTGAGAACCCCTAAATGGAATGAAGCTAAACACTTATAGATCAAGGAGCCTTTTGGCGTATCGGTTGGAATTTTCTTAGAATCTCCAAAGTTAAATGTGCTTGTGTGCGAGCACTTCTGAGAAGTTAAACCAATGGAACAAAATTGTGAAACCATTAAGGCCAAAGCAAAAAAGTACCTTGATGGCTGAGAGTTTGGACTGTTGCAAATAATATCAGAGATTACATTAGGCTGAATATAAGAATATATGCCTGGTGAATGATTCAGGGTTAAGAAAACAGACAAGTACGCGAGTTAATTGGAGAAGATTGTGAAACCCTTTTTAAGTAGAATGAAGCTACACTCTTAAACATAGCAGCATCTTCTGGTGTATTGATTGAAATTTCATAAAAAAAACTCTGAAGTGTGCTTGTGTGGGAGCACAATAATAATAATAATAATAATTGTAAAATAAGAAATTTCATTTATATAACATTTGATTATTAATAAATTATAAGATAGTACATTTAAGGCAGAAGAATATTCAGCTTTGAGGGGTATTTGATTTGAAGTATTAGGGCTTTGGATCGTGAAAGGTGCAAAAGAGGATGTAAAAATTCTAAATTTCATCCAAGAGCAAATGTCATAAATATATTATTTAAATTACTATAATTTCCTATAATGTAATTGAAAAGACCATCATACATTTCAATCTTATTTTGCTTGACGTAGCTTAGTAGTGTAATTACTTTACTGGGTTCTTGGATAACTTATTATGTTATTTTAACAATTTAAGTCTAAGCTTTTGAATGAGCACTAAAATAAAGAATATATATACAGGAGAGGTCAACAATCGAAAAAATAAACTTTTTATTCATTAAATTAAATTACTTTTTTCAATAGCACTTTCATTTTATTTGGATTATACACTATTAGTGATAGAAAGTTTAATTCCACCCGTCTGACCGTCCGCTCCTCAATGAAAATTATTAAATAAACTATTATGTTATTTTACCAATTTTAAGTCTAAGCTTTTAAATGAGCACCGAAAGAGAGAACATCTACAGAAGATGAGGTCAGCAATTGGAAAAATAAATAAACTTTTAATTTATTAAAAAAGAGAGGAAATTGAATATAAATAGAACTTGCACGAGATTTATGAGGACTCGATGGCTACTTGATGAACATGAATGAAATCTGCCATGAGCTTAACACCCGATAAGCTTGAATTTAGTTTTTTATTGACGCTCAGATAATCAAAATTGCAAGTCATAAATAGGCGAAGTGACCAAATGAAATCTCTTTATTTAAAAGCAAATGATGATCACTATGGGTTCATTTTGAATATTCAAATGCATGTAAAAGATAAGTATAGAAATATCATTTTCAAATACCCAACAAGATTTCTACTCACCTTAATTGCCATCAAATCTGCAACATTCACAAACAGACTGAAGGCAAACTCTGACAAATTTAAATGAATCTTTACACACATTAAGATGTTCACACAAATAATCAAATCTAATTAAATTTATGTTTTGCACATGCTTTGCAAAATATTTTTCAACTATAATAGATCAGCTAAAAAAACGTACACGTTTTATATGCTTAGTTCTTTGAAACTTAAATGCCAGCATGTGCTCCTATCAATGATCATAATTTTTAAATATTTGAGATAAGAATATTGTGCAAGGTAATTGCATATTTACACTAAAATCAAATCCACCTCAAGAAATGTGCATGTATTTAAAAATTTACAAAAATATTATTTTTAAGTGCCAAATAAAAAGATATAATAAATTGCACACGCTCTCAATAAGGTTGTCATGTCTATAAGGTAAGAGTGTAAGTCTATACCTTAGTTTGGTCCTCCTTACAGGGATTGAGCTAGTCTGAACCTTCTCCTCATTAAAACTAGAGCCGACAAGATTGATGTTCAGTGATGTTTGAATTGAAGATTTATTTAAATATCAAATACCAATGTTCCATGAATTTCAAATAACACTCCCCATTGATGACCATGTTGATTATCAATCTTAATTGGAAGGATTTATTTATAAACTAAAAAAAATTAAATCATAAAGTGAGATTAAATAGACTCCCTCCGATCAAAATTAATATCATAGTAAAGGCAAAGCCAAGCAAAATTGCCACTAATAGGCTGAGATGTTGCAAAATCTTAATCAACATTCTTGATTGATAACATGAAGTTGCACAGAAAAAAGATGTAAACAGAATCATTACATTGATAAATTGAAAATTTAGACTTCAAATTCAAGAATTAAATTTGATCATATTTTTCTAAGATTGAGTACCATAAAATCATCATTAAAAGCTACTAAAAATGCTAAGAGGCAATCACAAAATCCTAGAAGAAAGTTTTTATGTAGTCTTAAATAAAAAGTACTATAAAATTCTATAAAAAAAGCTACAAAAATCTTTATTAACGGTTGATAATTAATATTAAAGATAAACAGTTCATTATTTAAACTCATGTAATTTTTACTTAAATAACATCCACTAGAAGTAACAGAGAGGAGATGAAGAGAGAAGATAAATTGTGATCCATTATATTTTCCCTTAGATAAGGGGCACGCCCTTTCTTAACACATCACACACACACACACACACTCATGTTGAACATAAATGACTTCGCTATTAAGGAACAAGTAATCTTTGGATACCGAACTCAAACATTAGTGAGTTGGTTGTGCATTCAATTTACTACAGGACTAGAGGACTAGGCTTTGAGACCAGGAATTGTGTAGTAAAAAATTCTGATCCTAGACATTTGACAGAAAAGCATCAATAAATTACTTGTATAATAATACAGTATTTATTCACAAGACCAACCATCAAATGTGTTTAAGAACAACGGTCATAAGTTTGCGTTACTAAAGACATTCTATCAGATTGTCACAAATTCTCAACAATATATCACCCAGGAAAGAAAAAATGTAGCGTACCCTAGATAAGAGATGCAACAATAAGAACTGTGCTGCTACTGTGTCGTTGCCTAGAAGTGCTGCAAGATGCACTAGCAAAGATTCTCGGATATCCCTCATCACGTTAGGAAGTGGCTGCATGCGCGTCATTAAGAAAAAATTAGAAACAAGAACAAATATTTAACAAGAAATAAAAAACTGGATATTAAACATAAAAACAGTACACACTCAGTCTTTACCAACAGCTCTCGGCAGAAACTATATTCGATAAATAGAAATAGAGATATTTACGTACAAATCACCCAATTTTTATATATTTACATATCTACTAACAAAATTTTACATTTATACCACCCGCATCTTTCATATCACATAAAAAATATCACTATTTTAACTGTTCGAAAATATACTACATTTTTTTATGCTTAGACACTTAAATACATAAGAATTGAATTTTATGCATATAAATCTACAATAGGAATATCAACATTCACCTGCAGTGTAAGTGAACCAGAGAGAAAATCTTGAACAGCAAGCTTTCTGGATACTAAACAATGAAGACGTGGTACCTGGTTGAAAATTATGTATGACAAGGCAAATTTAGTTGAAGTAGTGGTAAAAAGAATTGCGGACTGATACCTGCATTTATTTGAAAGACTCGTCCAATATGGAAACTATTACAGAATACTAGTTTTCATATAGAACAACGGGGACAAAAAGATTGGTTAAGATCAAAGCAAATAAAAAGAAGGGCATTATGCAACCTTGCCACAATCCTTTGTAGCTCGAGTGATGGCGGAAGCTAGTATTTTGGAGGTTTTTTAAGATAAAATCTGGATTGATATGGAGAAAATTGACTACTGCAAAAAAAAAGTTTTCAAAAGGATGTCATTCTAGTACGATAAGTATCAAATTCTAGACAACACTTCTCCTCGTGGGAAAGTAGCTTCACTCTTAATTATATGGATACCTTTGGACATTCCAGTGCGAGTTGATCCTAATGGCTTTACTACTAAAAAGGACCGCCCTTCCAATAGCTCTTAACAGAATGTTTCATTTTTATAATTAGTTCCCAAACTTAAGGATCTTAGGATTCATTTTTCCTATACCCTTTACCTCATCATACTATTAAAGAGTCCTCTGCTCAGTTGATAAGGTTAATAACTCCATCAAATACTACCCGTAACAATAGAGACAACAATTTGAATCATTCCTCAAGTGATGCTGTGCTCATAACTTCAGATTTAAAACCTCATAAGAAATTTATTATATATGATAATGATGCTCCCCTTCCAAATGTGGACTTCTTTTTACCTTCCTCGAAAACAGTATGAAGGGGAGAAAGTAAAGCTTCATAAAAGTGCGAAATAGATGAGATCTTAAAAATGTATAAAATAAGATCCATCTGATAGGGGCCAACTATGGTTAATTGTTACCCAATCCAACGCCTTCTGGTTGTATGTTGAGTGAGAAAAATACATGAAAATATGTCTAAACACTTGTCTTCATTTTATGTCGTTTTACATATATTGCATAATTGTTTGTTTTTTGTGCAGAAAAGCCCTTTTCAGGAAGAACGGGTGAAAATCACTAGAGCATGGTGATGTCATGCCCAATACCTAGGAGTTATGCTAATTTTTGGCAACAACAATTAACAGCTTTTGAGAAGATTGGCTGAATGCCTTTTTCCTTTGCTTTCATTCCAATAAATAATAATATGTACAATCTATTTTATTTTTACAATCTATTTTATGTAACCTAATACATATTCATAATCTAAATATATTCAGCTATAAGGAAAGAATTTATACAATTAATAGGAGACAAAAATTGGAAGCAATTTAAATAAGGAAACTCCTAATTATAGGAAACTCCTAATTCTAGCTGCCTGATTTCTGTCATTCTTGATTGATATCCCCCTCAAATTGTTATTGATTAATAGAGAAGCATCAATTTGCCAACAAGAAACTGTGACACTGCCGAAAAAGAGCCTTGTATATCAGTCATTTGAATGTCAAAAAAGATATGAGGAAGAGATATAACACCATAAGCATAAGCTTCTCGAATAGAATGACAGTCCACTTTAATGTTTTCCATGTGCTCATGAAAGACAAGATTAGCATTAATCTGGATAGCACTAGTATTATCTGCATAAAGAGAAGTAAACTCAAGTTAAGAAAAACCAAGCTCAACCAACAAACCCGTAGTCAAATGATCTTAGAATAAGCAGAGAACATAACACGTATTCAGACTCATTAGAAGACTTAGACACTCGATCTTGTTTCTTACTCTTCCAAGAAATTAAAGAGTTGCCGAAAAACATACACCAACCAATAATAGATCGATGTGTATCAAAACAACCAGCCCAATCAGCATGATTGTAGGTTGTTAAGCGAATAGGAGACTCCGCAGAGAGGAACAAATCACAATGAGAAGTACATTTCAAATGCCTAACAATACGTCGAACTGCAACTAAATGAAGAAGTGTATGTGCTTGCATAAATTGAGAACCTTGTTGCACAACAAATGAAATATCAAGACGTATAATAGTCAGATAATTGAGACTCCCAATAAGTTATCGATACAGAGATGAATCAGATAGAAAGTCACCGTCATTCCGTTAATATTGAACATTTACTTCCAAAGGAGTATCAATAAAACGACCCTTATGGAGACCAGCAAAAACAATGAGTTCCTTAGTATAGTTATGTTGATGAAGAAAAGTACCAATGGGAGAAGAGTGAACCACAAGACCTAAGAAATAAGTTAAAGACCTCAAATCCTTCATATGAAAAAAACCCTGAAGACGCTCCTATAACTGAGACATCAATTGAGTATCAGATCTTAAGATGACAATATCAACATAAATTAATAACAAAATAATTTTCTTGTCAGTCTTGCAAAGAAACAATGAAAAATTATATTGACTTTGAATAAAAGATAAGCTAAGAAGAGCACTGCAAAACTTTTCAAATCAAGCCCATGGAGTATGTTTCAAACCATATCCAAACTATTTGAGCTTACAAACATCATATGAGGGTGTAGAAAACAGGCCTGGAGGAGTCCTATAGATATCATTCTTGAGGTCCCCATGCAAAAATACATTCTTATTGTGCAGTTCTAAGTCAATGTGGTTTTTTTCGAGTAATCAACTTTTCTTGCTTCTATTTAGTGTGGTTTTTCTGTCTTCTGATGTAGTGTTGTGTAGTTCTTGGCCAAGCATTAAGCATCTAGGGGTTGTTTCATATTTTGGTAGCCAATTTTAATCAGGATTTATATAAGATTTATGCTAAATCCCACAGAATGAGTAACCCCAAGCATTAAGCATCCCAGAGATCCTTAAATCCTGTTTACAGCTAAATTAACCTTTTTCATGAATAGGTAAGTTGACATATATGCATATAAAAATTAAAGTTTAGGTATTAAATATGTAATTATTTACATAGGAATTGTGTGGTATGTATGCAAATTTTTTTTGTATATTTAACATATAAATTTTGCTATTTATGTTACTGTTCAAAAAAAGAATTTGGTTGGGCTAGTTCGCTACATGAGACCATGCGAGCTCAAAAATATCTAAGGGCATTTACATACATCTAATCTGCAATTGACTTCATCTTGTTCTGATCCACATCTACGTCGTCTCCACTAATAACGTGTCCAAGAAAAGCCACACTTGTAAGCCAAATTTCACATTTATAAAATTTGGCGTAAAGTGTATTCTTCTTCAAAATCTGTAGCACAACATGCAAATGATCTCCATGACTAACTTTATTCCTCGAATACACCAAAATATCATCTATAAAGACAATCACAAAAGTATCCATAAATTGTCATTAAGACCCTATTCATCAGATCCATGAAACTGTTGGAGCATTTGTCAGTCCAAATTGCATCACCATGAATTCATAGTGTTAATATCTAGCACTAAAAGCGATATTCGCTGTCTTCTTCTCTAATCCTCAGTTAGTGATACCTCAGATTAATCTTTGAAAATATAGAAGCCCTTTCCAACTGATCAAAAAAGGCATCAATCCTTGGCAATGCATACTTATTTTTAACTGTGAGTTTATTTAACTCCCTGTAGACAATACACATCCTGAAGCTCCGATTTTTCTTCTTCACAAATAGCACTGGAGCTCGCCAAAGTGAGCTGCTAGGTTTGATAAACCCTTTATAAAGTAAATCCTGCAGTTGGCTCTTCAGCTCCTACAACTATTTAACTCTCATTATGTAAGGTACCTTGGATACAAGCTCAGAACCTGGTAAGAGCTCAATACTGAAATCAATCTCTCGCATAAATCATCTAGAAGCACCCCAAGATATTCTCTTACCACTGAAATATCACTCAGACTTTGCACTTCCTTGGAAGTATCTGCTACCTGAGTAAGTAAACCCCGACTTAAATGATTCAACAATTTGCAAGGTTTCATACAGATAATTAACATAGATGTCCGCCCCTGTCACCAAAAAAATTAACTTTTATCTCCCTAGTTATATTTATTTTAATAATTTTCTTATTGTAATCAATAGTGACAATTTCAGACATCCAATTCATGCTTAAAATCACCTCAAACTCCACCAAAAGCTACACAATAAGATGGGCATTAAAATCCTTTCCACCAATCATAAGCTTCATCTCACAAGATTGATCAACTTTCAGAAAAGAGTCATTTGGCATTCTAGCCGATAATATCAAAGACATAGAATAGCATTCAAATGCATCAATTTAGCCAGTTCATCAATTATAAAACAATGTGATGCTCCTGAATCAAAAAGTAATATCAGTCTAGTCGGAAGATAAATGATACATATCATTAAAATCACCGCATTAAATATTTATAGTTGTTTTTATTAATAATTAAATTCCAACTTGTTTTATGTATGATGTGACATGGATCATATGATGCTTAGAGTGTACTGATTGAAATTATTAAAAGTAAAACATATATGTGATAACGTCAGAGTGGTCCTTAACTTCCTGCTGCGATAATGCATGCACTTTGGGCTAAACATTATATTGAGTCTGTCATGCACTTGGCACCGACCCTGAAGATTCAGTTGCCTTTAGTCTATCATAGCTCATCTGAGGTGGTGCAGTATTGTTTCTATAATTTGCTGGAGCCTTTTGACTCAATTTAGGGCAATTCTTCGCCATGTGTCCTAGCTGGTGGCACCTGAAACAAGTATTCGATCCAGATAGACACACTCTTGTGAGACCTTCCATATTTATCACATTTTCTTCGCTTCAAACAGAGTGTCAACGTTGTTGAATCTTGCCTTCTTAGCATTTGTACCAGCTGACTGAAATGATCATCTCCGAGAACTCTACGAAAATCTGGATCTCTCTGAATTTATTCTCTTTTGAATGTCCCTCCTCCTTTGAGTAGCCTCTAGATCCAGCTCAATCCTCCTCACTCTCCACCAGAACAGAGTAATCATTGATTCTAAGAGGAATCAATGGCTTCCAAATCACATCCAGATAAAAATCAGTGACAATTCTTCTCTGCATTTGAAATCAACTAAGACACATGTCTTGAAAGCATGGTGAATTCAGCTTCATACTACATAATCGAATGATCACCCCGTACCAATCTGATAAAATTATCTTCCTCCGGGAGGAGAGTGGTACGAACCAATCTTTAAAGGAACTCACAAACTTGTCCCCACTAAATCAAGTGACTGGCTCTACCTGCCCACGCCACCATCTCTCTGTTTCTCCCTCCAATGCAAATGTAGTTAGTGTAATCATCCTCTTTGGAGGAGAAGGCAATCCATCTATGATCTTCTCCACTCTCAGCAGTCAATTTCAGCATCCACTGGACATCCTTCTCCAGAAAAGAGAGGTTCGTATCCTGAATTTATTTCAGGTACTTGTCCATCTGCATTTACAGTAATCTAGCCCAAGTCTCAAAGTTCTCTTCTCTTCTCTTTCTTCGTCTAGGGCACAAATTTGTCTTATGCACGAAATCGGGGATTTCTCCTCTCTTCTTCTCTGCATCAAAGTTGCTCTCCTACGATTTCTTCTATTTCGAATGAGAAGTGTGGAAGAATTTGGTGATATTTATTATGATGGGATGCATCTTCTCTAACTTTCGGCACCTTTTATTATTTTTCTTTCTTTCTTTTTTTTTATTCTTTTACTAAAATTTTAGTTATTATAGCAATATTGGGTCATTGTATGTCATTAATTTAAATTTATCTTTTTTGGACCAATTGGATCTTTCATATTGATTTAATGCTCTGCCTAATAATTTCATTTTGATTAATGATAATTCCTCCCTAATTAAAAAAATACTAGTTTGTATATGAGAAAATGACCTACTAGAGGAGAGATTGTTTCAAATAGTAGGTAAGCCAAATGGCAAACATGAAAGCAAATTGGCGGAATCTCTAGTTAGTGATTGATGTAGGTCCCAAAAGAAATCTAATTCATCCAATGACTCAAAAGGATAATTTTAAACAAAATGGTGGCAAGACATTTTTTCTTTTCAATAGAAGAAATAAAAGCTTGAAATCCAAGGAAAGTATGAGTCCAAAAGAAGTAAAAAAATAAAATATATACACCAATAATCAAGCTTATTTTCAATTGAAAAAGTTTAAGCCTATGAGTAAGTGCTCGAACTAAGTCTCAAAAGAAGCTTAATTCATCTGAAGGCTTGAAAGATTAATTTTGAACAAATTGGTGACAACATTTTTTAAATTTACAATAGAAGAAATAAGCTTGATATGTTAGGGAAAGCGTGATTCCAAAAGGAGATGAAACTAAGCTAGATACACCAATAATCAAGCTTATTTTCAATCGAAAAAGTTTAAGCCTGCAAGTCAACCACTTTGCATTTTTATACCAACATACCGTCCAGCTTTTTGACGTATAGCTAAAGCCAATACTCTTATGTGTCATGATAATCTCTCCCCCTGATGGAAGTCTCCAAATCAACTATCATTTACCCTCAGATGGAAGCCTATTAAATATCATGCATCAACAGCCACTCAACTATATGGAGGCTTTCTTAGATTCATCCGCTCTTAAGCTTTCTTCAGCGATGATAGAAAACAGCAAAAAATTTTAAGACTAAAAAACTATATGAACCACTATATGTAGCCAAATTATAAGGTTTAATACCACTCGTCAAGGAGTATGGAACCAAAGATAAATCAAAATTTAAAATGATGCGCTAAATACACTAAGGGTCAAACAGATAGTCAACCAAAAAACATAACAACACTGTAATATGTTCAGTTTTCATCAATTTTAATTTATTATTATTTTTTTTTGTATAATAGATTTGGTATGAACATTTGTAGATTGAATAATATATATATATATACATATATATTTGAAGTATAAATAAATAAGAAAATTGAATAAATTTTATTAGAAAAAATTGAGCTTTGAACCTAGTATTTTATAAAGTAGTGTATCCCAAAATTTTAGATTTCAAAATATATAAGGAATTAAGCATTATATTGTTCTCATATATTTTTTCTGTAATAAGCTTAGCAAAATTAAATATATTTAAGAAATTAAAATGATGAAAATTAAAAAAATATATATGTTTATAGAAAAAAGAAAAAAGCAAAAGATTAAGTAAAAGCAAAAAGCATCAAAGGATAAAGTGGGAATTATATTTAAATGCATTAATTCAATTTGACAATTTAAATTAGGATTATATTTAAAACATCAAAATCATTATAGAAAAATAAAAATTAATTAAATATTTAAATTCACTGTAACCATATAATTAGTCTAGCATGTTTTAAAAATTTTCAAAAAGTTCAATATATATTTCAAATACTTTAAAGAAATCAGATGGAAATTAAATAAAATAAATTTATCAATCAACTGAAAGAAATCATCCCTTTGATACTAGTTGAGAATGCTATTGCACTAGAGAGAGAAAATAAACAATGTTTGAAGAAAAGAAAAATATATATATTCTATCAATACAATATTTTAGACAATGTCCCTGAGATGACTTCTTAAAATAAAAATATGAATGTCTAAAAATTTTAATAAATGAAAATATTAAAATTTAATCATTTTTAACAGCATACATATTAAAATATATACCCAAAATTTATGTAGAACTTACAATATAACCTAATATGTTGTTTAAATTATTATTATATGAAAAAATCATTTGAATTACATAAGTGACAGGAGAGAATATGCTTATAGAACAAGGTGACTTAATGAAAATAGATACCAAAAAATTATGACTTGTCAAAAATTTTTTGTCACAAACTGGATATTTTTATATCTACTTCGATAACATTTTAAAAATTTTGTTGTTTGATGGTTCTTGTTTGGATGATAATTTAGAATTGTTTATAAGAAAGAAAAAAATATGATTGTATAATCCAAACTTCTATTACTGCTAGAAAAATTTGAAACAAACTAGTCAAGTCGTGACAAACTCAATATTACTCCACTCAACATACTTTTCATCTAGTTAATATGAGAACAAATCGATTTCTCACACATTAATATGACATTTACTCTACTAGGTGAACTATGTACATAAGACTAGCAACAGCATTTAGGTGGGTCAACCCAAGTCATCTCCGCATCATATTTTAGCTATAAGCCAATTAATCATTGTCCTACTTTAGAAAATAGCTCCAGTCAAACTTCGACACTAGAACCATAGGCACAGATGTATTGCTTGTGTAAAAATAGATGGTTGACAAAATCAAATATTTTATATGAATATAAACTCATTCCTATCGTTTCCATATAAAATCGCTACTTATGTTTTTATTACATGGAATTAAAAGGTGCTTAAACTATAACTAACTAATATAATAAAAAACAAAATAGAAAAAAATTATCACAACGAGTTTCATGCTCATTGTATATAACAAAACATCAAAATGAGAATTTAAAGCATATAAGAACTTAAATGTGCTGTTTTTTAAGCAACAAAAGTATAGAAAATAATACATTTCAACAAACACAAGTTAGAAGTGATGCACAAAGCGCTGACCTTGCACAAAGGGAGCTGATTTGACACATCTTCCATGAGGTCAAATGATGAATCATCAGTCTCACTTACATGAACAAGTTCAGGATCAAAAGTGTAAATTCCTATAAACTCGAACACATCATTCAATTTCAAATGACTCTCGGGCAAGTCATATGCCTGCACAAATGCAATGCTAGGTAATAATCAAATAAAATTAGAGGCACAAGTAAGAACTCAAACACCTCATTCAAAATGACTAAAGCGACTAGTATGTTATATGTTGCTACAAATTCAATTATAGCTAATAATGGTAGGAAAGAGACGGTATCACAGGCAGACAATTAGTGTATAAAGAGAGTAACATCAAAATATAAAATGAAAAAAAATAAGGCTCACCTTAACTAAGCATAAAAAGGAGTCATCTTCAGGTTTACTCTTCTCAAGCATACTGCCCTGCAACACTGGTTCTCCCACCACTGACTGACGTGGCTGAAAAATATATTCATCCTCCCTCTGCAAAAAAAAAAAATAATTACAGGTTATCATCTGTTTGGCAACTTAGTTCCTAAAGAAAAAGAGTTACAATTCATTCCAGAATGCAGTTAGAAGATTCTTTGTGTTATAATTGATCGAAAAAGTTATCAATTTAAACAAGTTATAATTAAACACAAGAAACAATAAAAATAGTACAGAAAATAACAGAATCATATCTGTAATTGTGGAATGGAGTCTATAACAGCTTAACAAAAGAAGACTAATTCAAATAAATGATAAAAATTTAAAGGGGCATTTGCATGCACAGCACACAATTCGTATGCATTAACATATATCACGCCTAGACTTTCATATTTACACACATAACACTCAAATGTTTAATACCATCAAAAATAGCACAATTGCCACTTTTTAAAAGTGAAATCCACCTTTCCATGCATGAGTTTAAAGAACCAAAGTGCTGTATGCGCATATGAAAGTTTAGGTGTGAGATATGTAAATACATAAGTATTGTGTGATATGTGGGTCAATCCCCTGCATGCCAGCCAGATGAAAAAACCATCACAAAACTAAAAGAAAATACAAAGAAATTTGCCTCAAATCCTGAAAAACAAAATTCTCAAAAGGTAAAGGTTTTTCATAGCTAAATTAAAAACTTGGCTGCCTTAAACTACCTGCTTCTTGGAGCATGTGGAGTCCATATCATCTAGTACCTGCCAGATATTGCAATTGTTAAAGTAGAAATCTAAAAACCAACAGTAGGTGTCTGAAAGGGTAGAGAATCACATTCAGTTCCATGGAATCATGATTTGCATCTCTCATCCGTTTTTCTCTTTGTTGGGAAGCATCATCTTCAACATAGTTGTTTTGAACTTGAGGTGCAGCATCCAAAATCCATGAATTGTGTCCTGGAACCTAGGAGTAAGATGAAAACAAATATTAATTGATTAATTTTTATTTATTTTCATCCATTAAGTTCTTAAACTTAACAGAAAACCGAAAGTTTAGTGAGCTGAAAGGTTAGCTACAGATCAGCGAGGGAGATAGAGAGATTAAGAAAAGGAAAGCTATAGGGAAAAAATTTAGGAAGATTTAGATACATGCCACTCATTCGCTTTAAGGTGTTTTTCATGAACTTAATACATATTAAAATTATTAGTTTTAACACCTACTCTTAATACAATCCTTAAAATTTATCTAAAATTTAAAAAATATATATATTTTTTATAAGATGTAAATATTTCAAACTATAAATTCCTAAAATATTCTCACTTTTAATACAATACATCACTAACTTTAATTTCTATGATTTATATTGATGGTACTATTTTAGCTCAAGTTGTAAGAGTCAATGGACTGAATAAGACCTTCAATATAATCTGCAACTGAAATAGTTCCCTCGCAAATAATCAGAGAACAATTTTAATCTGTATCTCTTTACAAATCTAGCACCTGAATTTTTATATTTAATTGCATAGCACTCAAATCTATAAATCACATCAAAATATCATTAAAATCCATTTATCTAAAATAAAAGATGCCTTTTAATTGCAGACCATGTCCATGCTTTGATGTGACTCAAAACAAAAATGATATATAAACAAATATAAAAATCTATATGTTAAATATGTAATTACACGAAATTTTGTCATAGATATGTAAATTCACTTGATAATTATTACTTAAAATGACAAAACTTTGTTTTAAGGAAACATCTTGCTTTTAATGTAAAAAATTGCATTGTATGTCAAAATTTGTTCTAATTGAAAATATTGTTTCCATGCTTTCTTTTCTGTATAATTTTTTATTATGTAGAATTAACTCATGCAACGAACAAGCTCACTGAATTATTAAGGCACTCAACTATGTAACATGCATGCTTGATTTTTGCTTTTGTGAATTTGTATTTACATATCTAACACCTAAAATTTGATATTTACATTTATACACTTTGGTGTCGTGAACCTACGAATGAGGTGAACTTTATTAAGAAGAAAACTGTAGTGATATTTTTGATGTGATGTTAAGGATTAGAGAGTTATGCATGTAAATATGAAATTTTAAGAGTTAGATATGTAAATACATTAGAATTGTATGGTATGTATCTAATGCACCTTTCATTTTTTAGTATCCCCCTTTATTGGTTTTCTATAAATATATATAATTAGTGTCATTTTAATAGATTTTTAGGCTAATAAAATTTATGTAATTTTATTTACATTTTTTCTCATTTATTTTAGAATTCAACCACCACTAAAACGGCAAAATTTTTAACAAAGACAAACTGACAAACTTGTCAATAAAAATTAACACAAAAATTTAAAAGAGGGACATACACATACATGGCGTATAACTCTAATTTACACATCTCACATCAAAACTTTCATATTTGCAGACGTAACATTCAAATCTTTCATATAACATCAAAAAAAAAGAAAAAAAAAACACCATCACCACATTTTAAAAGTGAAATACATTTTTTAGTGAATATATTTAAAGCACCAAAGTGCTATGTTATGAAAGCATAGGCACTATATAAGAATTGTATGCTACTTATGTAAATTTCCCTTTAAAAAAAAGGCCTTAGCTTTTATAAAAAGCCATAAAAAACCTTCTCAAATTTTGCAAGAGAAAAGCTTGGTACAACTTTAATGCTCATTTCAAATGTAGCAAGAAAATAAAAATAACGACAGAATCAATAAACCATAAATCAGTACAAACACATTATCAACAATATTTGGGCTACTTTGAGATACAATGCATTCTAAAGGTGGCTAACCTTTTAAACCAATATAACTTCACATAAACTACTAATGCATGCATATTGCCTCTGCTAAAATTAATTTGCATATCCCATCATTAATAATGAGCTGCAAAACATCATCATTTAAAGGAAAACTAATCCTACAGTCACTATGCCGTGACTAAGTTTAGATAACATTAAACATTAAAAATGAAATAAACTATATTGACATTTATAGTAAAATGAAATGATGGTCAAACTGAAACTGGAATGGAAACTACTGAAACCAAAACTCCGTTAGGAGATCTGAAACCATTACTGCAAACAATAAATTCAGACGATAAATGAGCAGATTTCAGAATAAGAGCTTGGCTGCATAATACGTACAGGAACACAAACAAAAAGCCGGCGCTCCCAAAGATAAGATTGACAAGATGAAGGCATCGGTCGGTACGCAACATCAGTAAACTTGTTTGTACTCCAAGTAGAACCATCCTTTATGAAAGAGCATATTTTCAGGATAAACCAGTCGTTAACCAAAGCAAACATTGAAAAATCAAAAAATAAAAATCATGCCTTGAAAGCCCCAATGTACAGCTCGTTTCCAAGCATATCTTGCACCATCCCCCTGAAGCGCACCAGTGTGTTGGGCCTCATCCATGTAAGACTCGATTTATCAAGGATCGGAACCTGATTTAATTTCAAACAAATAAAAGAAAAACAAATGACATGAGCAACAAATGGGAAACCAAAAATCTTTTAGCTTCCATCTAAATGTCAAATGTTAATCGTATAGTAAAATACAATTCAAAATAAGATTAGGGCAAAAAATCGTTAATATACATCAGATAAATACGTTTAACCAAAATGGCGATTGAGTTTAGGGCCGTGTGAAAGATCAAGACTTTCACATAATAGGAAATAAATCTAGGGCTTAATTATACCTTTGAAAGGCCGTTTTCTTCAAAAAGAAACTTGCGGAATAAATCGACGGCGCCCCAATCCTTGCCACAGAGCGGCGCAACTGGATCGACGTCCTGCGACGTCGAAACCGCCTTCTCGAATGTAAGCCGCACCGCTCCATGCGGGTTCTGGAGGCAGTCGTAGGGCAGCCCAACCATCTCTCTCTCTCTCTCTCTCTCTCTCTCTCTGGGCTCCTGAATCTTGGCGGGAGGGAGATAAATTAGCGCCGTTCCCGCCAAAAATACACCAAGGTTCCGGGACTAGGGCATTTCCCGCCAAAAAAGCACAGGGGAAAGGGCTTGTGATCGTTTATGCGGAACGGTGTATCGGGAGAAAATATTAGATCAGTAAAACGCCGTATACAGCTATAACGCCGTATAGAGAGCTATATATTTATATTTTTTTAAAAATATATATATAAATCATACCATCAAATATATTTTCTAAAAATAAAAAAAATAAAAACAAAACATTCTAAAAAAAATAAAAATAAAAAGGAGACAGACCTTAATCATCTCAATAAGGTTAACACAATAATACTGAAAATGATATAACCTGACTTCAAGTCATCGTAGATCAAATATTTGAAACATGTTTGAAGGCTTTGATCTTTTGATTAGAATGCTAAACGATAACAAAATTTGTAATGCTTATAGTCAAATCGAGCGGCTCGATGAAAGAAGTCCAACGAACTCATTATCATTTAATTTTGAAGTCGTTAATATACTTAAATGTCAAAAAAAAAACTACATTTGAGTTTAACTCAATTTATCATTCCAAAGAGTTAATTCTTTAAATTTTCTAGTGGATTATTTTGACTGAGTGAAACATTTTCATTTTTTTCCTCTTATAAATATTTTTCATATAAAAATTATGACTCTCTTAAAGCTTTTCTTTTATGCGTGTGAGACATAAGATTTTTCGCATGTCAAGAATTTTATGGTTAATAAAAAACAAAATATAAAATTTAAAGAATAAATTATACTATTTTAATAACATATTACAATTTTAAAGAACATCAACTGCATTACAAGCAGTTAAATTGAGAATTTATTGAACCCCAATATTCATAAAATAAAATAAAAAATCACCCCTTGACTTAAAATTTAAAACCTAAAATAATTAGTCATATAATTTATCAAAAAATAATAAAATTTAATCCATATTAAGTCAAAAAATTTCTTAAGATTTCAACTGTGTTAAAATTGAATTTCCAAAACTTCTGACAGAATGGTTGAGATGAGCACAATTTAAGGAGAATTCGAAGAAGATGTTTCCCCCATTTTTGACTTCTTCGGCTTTCTGTTCTCAGGTTCTCACCCCTACAATGCCCTCCACTATCCCTCCTGTTTCTCGCTATTAGGGCATTCACCGGAGGCCTCTGTTTCGCTCTAGCAGCGGCGTGGCGTTCAAATTTTTTGTTTGCTCGGTGAGTCTCTCGATGGCCCTTCCTGTAATCCATCTTCTTGGTTTTAAACTGGCTAGAAATTGTCGTTTTGTTTCCATCTATTCTACAATTAATTACGTCTTCTTTATTTCAGAAGCATTTGCTCTTGCTTGGGCTAATTTGATGTCCCTTCCATTGTTTCATGTGATTTAACCGATGAATGGCATCTATCGAACCCTATGATTTTTCTTCATGAAGTCTATTTTCAGTTTTTCTTAGGGACTGTTTGATTCGAAATCAGTTTTATGAAAACCTGTTTTGGTGAAATGTACAAGCAGATTTCGTAAATTATGATGGGTTAACGTAGGATTTAGTAATCTATGATGGCGCAGAACAGTTTGTTTAGTTTTTAAATCCTGTCAAATATCTGGCTGTTTAGAATTTGGGATTTAGAGAGATTTGGATTTAAATAAAGCATTTAAGAAATGAAGATTCCGCCAAAAAATTTCCAGTTGAAACGCTAAAATACAACCCTCTAGTCAAGGGTTCGTAGCTTGGGAAAAAAATTGCTGGATACTCTGAAAAAAGAATAAAGGCCCGTTAGATTGTCGATTCCAAACTCCCAAAGAAATTAGGGCTAGTAATGCTGCCGCTATGAAAGAGAGGAGCGACAGGGAGAAGAGTGACTAGAAATGGCGAGGAAATCCCGTAAAACTCTATTTCCCCTGGTTTTGATAAAATCGAGTTATGAGGACGATTTCGATAGAATTCAATAAAACCGACGAAGAGCTCCAACTTCTGCAACTCTGTTAAAACCCGAAGGAGCGGAGCAGCAAAACAAACCCCGTAATCTTGATCCATTCTGTCATTTATAGAAATGGGAAAAAAGTATATTTGTAGGGACTTCTGCTAAATTAATTGATATGACCAAATCAGAAGTTTATGAATCTGTTCAATTTTCATATGATTCTAGATAAAGAACTACTGTTTATAAATTTATAAGTGCCAGACGGATGCACTTGAACCATGTTGGAAGCGAAATGCCACATAATAGCTAGCTTTTTAGTTCATTTGACAGTACTGTGAAGCTTCGTGTAGATTATGCATTAAATTTGTTGAGTTAATGCATATTTCGAAGGTTTGTAAAAGCTGAGTTACAAGTAACGAGCTTTGTTATAAGGAACTAGAATGCAGTTCAAACTTGAAATGTTTATAATCTTATCTCCTCGGGTACTATGGTCCTCTGTCCCTCCCCGTAACCTTAGAAAAGGCACGATGGATCCATTTATGTGGAACAAACCACATCAGAGTGCCATTCGAGTAACTCTAGTGCAGGCAACCACCACCATATCCATCTCTTAAAGTTCGTTGGGCAAATCAAATTTCCTTATTAGTTTGAGAAATTAGAATATGTCTTGTTAGAAGTTACTACTTCACATTCATCTTTCACCGTTAAATTTATCCAACGGCATGTTTCTGAACTGATGTTTTTGCTTGAGCTCAAGTTTTCAGAATTCTAAATCTTTTATCCAACTGAGAAGAAATGCATGCCTGGAAACATGATACATGGGGAGAATGTTTTATATAATATGCTTTATTGTTATATGGTTTTTGAGAGAATTGCTTTGGAATCATTGTATTGTGAAACCCCTTAAATAGAATGAAGCTGAACTCTTAAACATTGAAGTGACTTTCGGTGCTACAATTGTAATTTCATTAGAAACTCTAAAGTTAAGCATGCTTGTACGGGAGCACTTTTGGGATGGGGTGACTTCCCTGGAAGTTGGACGACCAATGGGACAAAAACTTGGGGCGATTAGGCTAAAGCGGACAATATCTTGATGGGTGAGAGTTGTTGCTATAACATGTATAGTGTGTTAATGGGGGGTGATAATGCATGCATACATGGCATATGACAAAAGTTATTTGAGCTATCTTCAGAATGTTATAGTGGTTGTAGAATTAGAAGTGCATTCAGATAACCAGTTAAAATGCTTCATGTTTATCACGCGTTTTGTGTTCATCAATTAAGATGGAGAGAAATGTAGTTAGTTATAAAGAAGCTGCAGGCAATCTCTATTTCCATGCTAAAATTTATGAAATATTAGTTTTAAACACTTAATCTTTTCCTTTTCACATCGGATGTTACAGAGGCTAGAACATTCTCATTCTCCTCTCTGTAAGTTTTCCAAGAAAAATTTACATACATACCATGCAATTCTTATTTGCTCAAGAAATCTGTCATAATCTTTCCTCGTCCTATCAAACAGAAAAGGTGTTATTTTGGAAATAAATACTCAGGGCTTTGTTTGGGATCATTGTTGTTTTTTGTTTATTTTTTTTTTACTTTTATTTTTAAAATGATGCTTGTTTAGTGCATTTTTCAGAGGCAAATTGGGATCATTTTTATTTTCTGTTTTTCATTTTTTTATTTTTTGTTTTGTTCTGTTTTTGTTTTAATTTAAATAAATGCATATTTAATTGAATTAGTTATTTTAAAAAAAAATAAAAACATATAAAAATTAAACCAATGATATTTTCAAAAAAAACTTGAGTTTTTAACGTATTAACATATTTAAAAAAAATACTCTAAATAATATTTAGATGTTATCCACTATTATCAAACATGTTTTTCTTCAAATTAAATATCCAACAAAAAAATAAAAGATAAAAAATAAAGTGATCCCAAACAGCCCGTAATTTATTTTTTCTTTCTATTATTATTATCTTTTGATTGATTTTCACGTCTATATTTCAGCTGAGCTAATTTTTCCTTTGCTGATAGTGCAGTGGTAGCCCTGTATAGCCCCTCGTGACATCTAAGAAGGTTCTAAAGAATAACTAAAATAATGACGGAGAATCAGATGAATGAGGATGTTTTTTCAGTAAAACCATCGAAACCTAAGATCCTCATTGCTGCTTCTGGAAGTGTAGCCGCAATTAAGTTCCAAGCTCTTTGCTGCTCTTTTACAGAATGGGCTGAAGTTAAAGCTGTTATGACTCAATCATCTTTACACTTCATAGATAAAGCTTCATTTCCAGAGAATGTTGTGCTTTACACAGATGAGGATGAATTGTCTTCTTGGAAGAAGCCAAGCGATGAAGTGCTGCACATCGAGCTGCGAAAATGGGCAGATTGTATGGTTATAGCACCATTGTCAGCAAATACGCTAGCCAAGGTACATTTAGGGACCATTTTTTAATTTTCTATTTTATATTTTTGTGTTTTTTGTTTAGATTTTGATACTAAATAAATAATGTTTGTTATTTTGAAAATAGACCAATGATTTTTTAAATACTCAAAATAATTTTTAGTTATTTTGAGTGTTTTTAAAAACAAGTTGGGTTTGTTTTTAGATGCATACCACTAAATTGCTATGTATTTACATAACTAATTTCAATTTTTACGTACCTACCATCTTAACTAGGCTTGAAAAGGTACATTTCACTTTTTAAAAGTTAAAATGGTGATATTTTTGATGTGATATAAAAGATTTGGTTATATGAATGTAAAAAACAAATATATCTAAAAAAAACTGCTTCCAAGGAGGCTCTTAACTTCTAGCATTAGTAGAGCATCATCCATTTTCCTGTGTCATGATGCCTTTTTGTCAGCAATACCGTTTTATTTGTCTCTGGTTCATAAAATTTGTTTCAAATTTTCTCTTAGATTGCAGGAGGATTATCCGACAACCTGCTGACAAACATTGTAAGAGCTTGGGATTACAGCAAACCTCTGTACATTGCACCCGCCATGAATACTTTCATGTGGAACAATCCTTTTACGAAGAATCATCTTCATTCAATTTGTCAGCTTGGGATAACCATGATTCCCCCTATGACAAAGAGATTGGCTTGTGGAGATTATGGAAATGGTGCCATGGCTGAGCCTTCTACCATCTATAATACGGTAGTGCTCTCCTTAACTAAAGGTAGGATTGTAAATGAATCAAGTCCAACGGAGTAATTACTCTTACTCTTCTCGAGTTTAACTCATGTTTGAAGATTACCTGGGATTAGAATCTTGTTATAAGTTTGTTTTTTAGTTTTCTTATCCAGTTTGAGTTTCAATAGAGCCTAGTTAATTATAAATTGGGGCATTTAAATACAAACCACTTAAGAAGAGAAAAGGGAGGTGGAGGGATGCGAGTTTTCTATGGGAAGGTAGAAAGAGAGGATAAACCGAACTCGGGAAGGAAGGACTTCGGCTTGCTGCTCTGTGTTGAAGAGGAGTCAATTATCGCACGCAACCACAAGAGCAGACAAGGAAAGGGACTTGTGTGCGGGAACACGATTCTTAAACAAGGAGAAAAGGTAATTTTATCAAGTTATAATAGGAAATAATTTATTCCTGTAAGAAGTTATGAGGAATAAATTATTTCCTTAGATTAAGGAGATATTTCCTTTCCTATTTTATATTTATTTCTTTGGATTAAGAATTATTTGTTTTCTTATTTTATGTTATTTCATATATCTCTTAATAATTAATATGAATTGATTATTGGAGATATTGAGCGATATATCTTTCTTTTCATATTATTTACTTTTTATTATTTTTTCTATGATAGGATTCTTGTAAGGGTTATTTATACCCTCGTTCATATCAATGAAATAATTAAGTGTTTTACTTTATTCTGCATTATTCTGAATTTCAACATAGTATTAGAGTTTAATTCTGTACTCTACCCACCGTTCTTCTTTTGAAAATTATCGGACTCCCTTCATGTCGTCCTCTGTGCTTGAAAGGAGAGGCGCTCATCTTGTTATTTGAAACAACAATTTTTTTCTTCTCCCTGCAAGCTTTTACTGTTGGTAGGCCCTTACTGAACCGGAAGCTTCGACTCTGTCGGCCTCTAGAAAATATATAACCATCGGTTCCTCTAGCTGCCATCTTTTTTCACCCTAAATGTCGCCAGTTCCCCCATATCAGTTCTCTAAAGGTTTCTGTCGCCGATCCTTCTGGCACGTAGTTTTAGCCGCCAGATCTCTCTTCACTAAAGAGTCGATCCCGGGATTACATTGTCGGACCTTCTTGTCGCGAGACAGGAGCGCATTTACAGTGACAACATGCTTGAGATCCTTATTGAAGATATATTGTTTGGGCAAACAACCATGGATTACTGCCACCCTCTCACCGGAGGCCTTTCTTGGCAAGATTTCAGTCGGACCTCTGTCGACCGGCTCTCGCTTGGCGACCCTTCTCTGATAAGTTGTGTACCGATGACTTCTTTGTTGTCTTTCCCAGCTGCAAGACTCTTCCGCTGTTCTTCCCTGGAAGGCCTTCACAATGTTCTTACCCGAAGAACTTTCTCACAGGAAACAAAGTAGTCTTTTTATACTGTTCTTCCCAGTCGCAGGAAACAACACTGTTTTTTTCCCTTGAAATCCAGCACTGCTTCACGTCTTCTTGTTATTTGAAACAATGATTTTTTTCTTCTCTCTGCAAGCTTTTACTGTTGGTCGGCCCTTCCTGAACCGCAAGCTTCGACTCTGTCGACCTCCAGAAAATCTATAACCATCGGTTCCTCTAGCTGCCATCTTTTTTCACCCTAAATGTCGCCAGTTCCCCCATATCAGTTTTCTAAAGGTTTCTGTCGCCGATCCTTCTGGCACGTAGTTTTGGCCGCCAGATCTCTCTTCACTAAAGAGTCGATCCCGGGATTACTTTGTCGGACCTTCTTGTCGCGAGACAGGAGCGCATCTACAGTGACAACATGCTTGAGATCCTTATCGAGGATATATTGTTTGGGCAAACAACCATGGATTACTGCCACCCTCTCACCGGAGGCCTTTCTTGGCAAGATTTCAGTCGGACCTCTGTCGACCGGCTCTCGCTTGGCGACCCTTCTCTGATAAGTTGTGTACCGATGACTTCTTTGTTGTCTTTCCCAGTTGCAAGACTGTTCTGCTGTTCTTCCCTGGAAGACCTTCACAATGTTCTTACCCGAAGAACTTTCTCACAGGAAACAAAGTAGTCTTTTTATACTGTTCTTCCCAGTCGCAGGAAACAACACTGTTTTTTTCCCTTGAAATCCAGCACTGCTTCACGTCTTCTTGTTATTTGAAACAATGATTTTTTTCTTCTCTCTGCAAGCTTTTACTGTTGGTCGGCCCTTCCTGAACCGCAAGCTTCGACTCTGTCGACCTCCAGAAAATCTATAACCATCGGTTCCTCTAGCTGCCATCTTTTTTCACCCTAAATGTCGCCAGTTCCCCCATATCAGTTTTCTAAAGGTTTCTGTCGCCGATCCTTCTGGCACGTAGTTTTGGCCGCCAGATCTCTCTTCACTAAAGAGTCGATCCCGGGATTACTTTGTCGGACCTTCTTGTCGCGAGACAGGAGCGCATCTACAGTGACAACATGCTTGAGATCCTTATCGAGGATATATTGTTTGGGCAAACAACCATGGATTACTGCCACCCTCTCACCGGAGGCCTTTCTTGGCAAGATTTCAGTCGGACCTCTGTCGACCGGCTCTCGCTTGGCGACCCTTCTCTGATAAGTTGTGTACCGATGACTTCTTTGTTGTCTTTCCCAGCTGCAAGACTCTTCCGCTGTTCTTCCCTGGAAGGCCTTCACAATGTTCTTACCCGAAGAACTTTCCCACAGGAAACAAAGTAGTCTTTTTATACTGTCCTTCCCAGTCGCAGGAAACAACACTGTTTTTTTCCCTTGAAATCCAGCACTGCTTCACGTCATTTCCTGTTGCTCTACCACAAAAATTCAGCATTGGGTCTTGCAGTCGGATCCATCGACAGCCCTTTCTCCTGCAATATTTTTTCTTCCCTGCTTAAGTGTTAGAGGGAGTTGTGTTTCCAGCCGTTCTTTCTCCTGTTGCTTTCTTTGTTAGCAGAATTTGCTGCGTGTGATTTATTCTTTTTCTCTCTTGTGAAATTCCCAATTGGAAGGCTGCCATAGATCGTCATAGATGTTCGGAGAGTGGGATTTTCTCTCCTGTGGCACTCCTAACCGAAGAGGAGAAGTTCAACATTGGTGAGGCGAGATTGGATTTATCCTTGAATGGAATCCAAACAACCAACCTACATTCCCTTCTTCGTTGGTTTCATCCCTGCTGCCAAAACCAATCTATATTATCTCTAAGTCGAAACACATGACATACAAATCTCAAAATTCAGCGAAGTCTAAACTTTGAGTCTTCTTATATGCACTGCAGAAACTGTAGTCAAAAGACAATCGCAGTTGTCTACTTTTGTGCAAACTCCTCTGCATCTCTCTAAGTCGAAACACATGACAGACAAAACTTTGAGTTTTCCTGTAGGTCAAACTTCCCCACATCATTACCTGTAGGGGTTTTTAGTTTATCTACAGACACTGCATGAACTACAGTCAAAGACAATCAAAGTTGTCTACTTCCCTGCAAATTCCCTGCAGCAATACTAATAGGAGTTTTTTTTTCTACCTACAGACACTGCAAGAACTGCAACCACTAATGTCTACTTACCTGCAAACTCCCCTGGAACATTATCTGTAGGAATCTTTTGCCTACTTACAAACATTGCAGTAACTGTTGCCAAAACAATCACAATACAAGATAAAGTCTTTAAGTTCTACTTCACAGGATATTCATCGCCCATTGTTTGATATTTTAACAATGTTTCAACTTGAGGGGGAGTGTTACGAATTATAATAAGAAATAATTTATTCATGTAAGAAGTTATGAGGAATAAATTATTTCCTTATATTACAGAGTTATTTCCATTCTTATTTTAGTTTTCCTATTTATGCTATTTCATATATCTCTTATTAATTAATATGAATTGATTATTGGAGATATTAAATGATATCTTTTATCTTTCATATCATTTCTTTTTAAATATTTTTTCTATTATAGGATTTTTGTAAGGGTTATTTTTACCCCCGTTCATATCAATGAAATAATTAAATATTCCACTTTATTTTGCATTATTTTTAATTTCAACAGCTGCTCTGTGTTGAAGAGGAGCCAAGTATCGCAACCACAAGAGCAGACAGGGAAAGGGACTTGCGTGTGGGAACATGGTTCTTATACAAGGATAAATGTAGTTTTATTAAGTTATTTAATAAGTAATATATATATATATATATATAACATTAAGTTAAGTGAATTTTATTCATGTACTAAAGAAAAATTAGGGTTTTAATTTTAAATGTATAAATAATAAATAATATTTAATATTAATTTTGTTTGCAGTAATTAGACTTAAAAATTAAAGTATTGAAATCTTAATTTTAATATAGTACAATACAACAATAATTGATAATTGAATTAAAACTCAATTAAATAAAGTAATAATTATAGAGTTTATATTTTATAGGTGATAATTTGATAAAACTATACAAGTTAAGAGTAAACATATCATTTGTCATCGAGGTGAGTACTTGTATTATTAATCTATGCTAGTAATTTATTTCTTCACATATATTTAGCAGATAATGACAGTTGAGCATGCTTTATTTTGATTGAGATATTTTTTTTCTTTTCTTTAATAATCATTATGTTCTGAATGATGTAGCTACTTATTCTCATGCATTTGATATATGATTTATACAGTATACTGAATTGAATGTAATAAATACATAAATAATATGTTTATGTTTACTGCTTGTATGTTGACGTGTTATAAAACATGTTTAATTTTCTTTATATTTTGCACCTGTTTATGGATGAAATTGCACTTTAAAGAAATGTATTGTGTTTTTATTGTATGTATAATAGGTATGACATATGGAGCGAAGAGGAGTTAAAATGGAGCGAAACAGAGCATATTGGAACCAGTAGTCTGGTGCTTAAGCGCCAAGGCCCTCCACCAAGCATCTTGGCGCCAGCTTACTGGGAGCCTAGTCGCCATAACCCAGTCGGGTAAATTGAGAGGCCGACGCTTTTGCGCCAAGGCGCTGGCTAGTTTCTGGACAGTTTTCTGCAGTTACGTAGGCACGACTTGGGGAGCATTGGAAAGCATTCTGAAGCCTTGAAAAGTGAAGGAAGGCAGAGGTGTCGTAGTCTAAAGTTAGGGTTTTGTATTTTTCACTTTCTTGGAGAGAATTCTATAAGGGGATATACTCAACATTGCAAGGAGCTCTTGAAAACGTTTTAAGGAGGAATTTTTATTTTTTTTCTCAAGGAAAAAAGCTAAGTATTGTGTTCTCTATTTTCTTGTATTGTTTGTAAACACATATCTAGTGGATTTGCTTTGTATAACATGATGGATTGTTGTGCTTTCTTTACGTGCTGTGAGTAGATCTTTTATACATTTCTCTTGTGATGAATAAGTTGAATGCGTAGGATGTTAGGATGCTTATAAAATGGATCTTTAAACATTAATGTGATGAGTATTCTTTAAAACATAATTTACTTTTCATATTGGTCATATGAACTGTTAAAATTTGTTGTGATCTATTATGACTCGGAAGAGTGATGGATGAACGATTAGATTATTCACACTAAACTAGTGGGTGAAGGAAAAGTAGTCTATAGAGCGATGTAAATAGATAAGGAAATAGACTTTGATGAGTTCAAATTGGTGTTTAAGGAATTAAAACCAGTTTAACCAAACTACTTTATGCACTCGGGAAAGGGTAAATTAGAGGATTGCTTCTATTTGTCACTAGTTATATTTATATCTTGATAATCACTGATTCAATTAAATTGGGTAGGTTTTAACATTAGAATTAATTGAAGTAATGGAGTAGTTGGTAGAACTTTGACCTAATCACAATTCCAAGCTAAGACCTAAAAGTACTATAATAGAACTTTTCTTAAAGGATTCATTATCTCGTTCTGTGTAGGATCATCAATCTGGACTTAATAGAGCCATATATTATTAAAACGATACATATACTTGCGTGAGAAACCCCATTATGCAAGAATATCTAAATTTAAGAACTTAATCAAATTGTTAGAGAGCAGATCAAGTTTCTGGTGCTGTTTCCAGGGACTTACATTATTGTGATAATAGCTGGGGTAGAATCAAGTTTTTTGATGTTGTTGTTAGGGAACGACGGTAAAGAACTTTAGGAGACTTTTAGTTGAGCCTAAAAGACTTAGATTTAGAAAATTGTATTGTAGTTCATTGTGTAAGTATTTGTTTGTTTGTTTTGAAAAGAAAAAAAAGTTATTTTCGAGTATTTGTCAAGTGTGTTTGTGCTAAATTTACTAGTTGAAACTTTAGTTGTGTATGTGTAGTGCAGGACTTGCAAGTCTTGTACCCTACGATTCAAAACTAGAGAGGACTATTAGAAAAATTAGAAAACATAAAAGTTTTCACGACCTTGTAGAAAAAAAATGATGAATATTCAACGAAACAATATAGATAATAAAATATTAATTAATGAGCATCGTAACAGACATAGATCATTAAGGGATTACGATAATCCTATGACATATGAAATTCACTTAAGTATTCAAACTCCTATCATATAAGCTAATATATTTGAATTGAAACCTGTTATTATCCAAATGACGCAGAACAACCAATTTGGGGGAATCCTGTCTGATGGTCCAAATTTACACTTAGCAATTTTCTTAGAATTTGCGTTATATTTTGTTATAACGACATGCGTTTGTTGTTGTGACTTTGCCCTGTTGCCCTTGACACCCCGAGCGAGGGCGATCCAGTTCATAGAACTCGCAGTCGGAGACGACATGCGATTGGGGTGTAGGAAAATGTTTGGAAGCGGAGGAAATAATAACCCACCGATCGTTTGTGAGAAATCGAGTTCATCAGAGCCCACCGCGACGGCTCGGATCGGAAATGAAGAGTCTCTGATGTAGAGCCTGTCGAGCTTACCAAACCCTTTGCCAATGGTGAGCAGATGAAGGTCGGCGAGAAGAATAGGAGGATTTCACTTTGGCGTGAGAGGTCTCTCCGAGTCGTGCGACGGTAAGCTACCACATGGTCAGAGGGCTAGTGTCGCAGCGGCAAGCATGAACGGAGCTCGCATGCAACAACAAGGGTGTTGAGGGAGAGGGAAGAGAACAGAGGATTACATTATATCTTATTGGCTTCAGCTCATCTCTGAATTATTACTATATCAGTTTATTTACATATTTCGCCTGGACTTTTTTTTATTTGCAAGATAAAGTGTTTTATTAAATGGGTATGAATGTTCAAATAATTTGCATAAAGCTTTATAATTTGGTTATTATATAATTGCTGTTAACATATATGCCTAGGAGTTAGGAGTGTGATATTATTATGAAAAGGAAGATTTACATGAGATTTACATGCATACCTTTACATGCATAACACATAAATCATATTATTTATGCATTTTTTTAGTTAAATTTCAATTGAATATGTAATATGTGGTATCGTGCTTTTGTCTTTGACCAAATTTAAAGTTTTCAGCACTTTAAAAACTACACATTATAATGTTCTCATTTTATCGCTTCTTTGATTGATTCATCACTTATAGTTCTGTTGCAAGCAGCTTTACTGCACAGGGGCAGAATGATCATTTATCCAGAAACAACTGTTTTCCAAACACACAATCCAAACAATCAGCCATCTTATCCGGATCAACTACTGATTAACAGTTTATCCAGATCAGTTGCTTATCAGCCGATTATCGATAAGCTGCAGCTGCCCCAAACAGACCCTTAAGGAACTTCTTAGGAAGTGTCTACATCACGCTCTGTCCGATTGATTAATTATTCAAATTTTTTACAATAGTTTGGCATGATCCCTTAGATCTATTATTGATACTGTTGTTGATGGTTCACTTATATCGAAGTCATTTGATGAGGCTTACTCTTTGATTGAAGAGATGACTACAAATAATTTTCAATGACCTTCTAAAAGGATAAATCTTAGAAAGGAAGCTAGTGTGCATGATACTGATGTGCTTTCAATTCATACTTCTCAGTAGCAGCAATATCAAGGAAACCAGGTCAATTTGGAATGAGCCAACCTCATGTATGTTCAGTAATTGAGAAAAATTCATTTGAACAAATGGTTGATTCTAACAATTCATCATTTGAGACCTTAAATGCAATTAACAACAAACCAACAACCCTTATTCCAATTTCTATAACCCAGGTTGGAAGAATCATCATAATTTTAACTGGAATAACAATTAAGGTGGCGAAACCAACAATGGGAAAATGACCAAGTAGATCTTTTAGGAAATTGAAATAATCAGGGTAGTACCAACTATAGACATTCTTATCCATCAGATTTTAACAATAATCCACAATTTAAAGAGAAGAAGTTATCTTTGGAGGAGGTTGTTTTACAAATGGGGAATCAACTACAAAGTCAAGGTGCAACAATAAGCAATATAGAGAACCAATTGGGACAAATTGCTAACTCACTTAGCAATATGCCCTAAGGAACTTCTCCCAGCAACACTGAAATAAACCCTAAGGAGAAGAATAATGAAAATGTTAAAGCTGTCTAATTAAGAAGTAAAAGAGAGTTGGAGGATGTAGTTTGGAAAGAGATTGAGATTGAAAGGGAGATTGTGGAAATTGAAAAACTTGAGGAAAATGTTTTCAAGGAATTAGAAAAACTAGTTTCTCCAACTAAGATTAACTTAGAAAAACCACTATCTCTATTTCCTCAAAGACTTCGAAAGCAGAAGCAGGATCAATAATTCTTAAAATTTTTAGTATTGAAGAAGTTAACTATTAATATTTCTTTAGTTGAATCTCTGGAGCAAATGCTCAGTTATGTAAAGTTCATGAAGGATATTCTTAACAAGAAGAGGAAGTTTGGAGATCATGAGACAATTGCACTTAGTTGAGAGTGCAACGATATAATTCAAAAGAAGCTTCCTCGAAAACTTATGGTACTTCGGAGCTTTACTCTTCCCTCCACAATAAAAGAAATATTTTTTGGAAAAGCTTTATGCAAATTTGGAGCAAGTACAACCCTTATGCTGCTATCTATTTTCAGAAGATTGGGATTAGGATAAGTGTCTCCTACTACTATAAACCTTCAATTAGCTGATCGGTCGATCATTTCTCCAGAATGGGTTATAGAATAGGTTTTAGTTAAAGTGGATGAATTCATCTTCTCTGTTGATTTCATTGTGTTAGATATGAAGGAATATAAAAAAGTTACAATCATTTTAAGTAGACATTTCCTAACTACTTGATGAAATATGATAGATGTGCAAAAATGTGAATTAATATGAGTAAATGATCAGGAAGTTACATTTAATGTCTTAAAATTTATAAAATATCCTTCTAAAGGAAATGAAGATGCGTGTTTTTGGATGGAATTAATTGATTATTTGTTTAGTAGCCATTTTTAAGAAAGTTATGAAGTTAAATTAGTAGAGCTGGAGTTTGATAACGAGCAAGACAAGGGCTTTCAGGATAAGTTGGATATATTGATTACTGAAGATTTAAAATTTGTTCAGGAGAGGTTTGAGATTCTAGATACAAAAGAAAATTGTAAAACTCTTATTCTTTCTGTTGATGAACAATTGAAATTGAGATGAAGATGTTTTCTACACAATTAAAATATTCTTACTCAAAGAAGTCATCTACATTATCAGGTATTATATCTTCATATTTGACTCATTTGCAAGATAAAAAAATTAATAAAAATTCTGAGGAATTATAAGAAAGTTTTCAGATGGACCATAATAGATATTAAGAAAATTAGTCCCTCTATTTGTATGCGTAAGATCTTGATGGAAAATAATTATAAATCCCGGGCAGATCCTCAAAAGAGATTAAATCCAATTATGAAAGTAGTTAAAAAAGAAATATTGAAGTGATAGATTCATGTAATATCTATCATATATCAGATAGTGCTTGGGCTAGCCCTTATTCACTAAGTTCCTAAAAAAGGGGGAGTGACAGTATATATAAATGAACAGAATGAACTAATTTCTACCAGACATGTCAATGGGTGGTGAATTTATATTGGTTACAGGAATTGAATTTAGACACTGGGAATGATCACTTTTCTTTATCGATTCTGTGGATCAAATGTTGGATAGGCTAGCTGGTCACTGATACTTTTGTTTTCTAGATAGATATTTTGGATATCATTAAATGCTTATAGCTCTTGAGAATAAAAAAAGATTGCATTCAAAAGTCCTTATGAGATTTTTGCTTTCAGAAGAATGTCATTTGTGTTATG